TGGAGGCAGAGAGACCACGATGCCAAAGGTCTCCACTGGGACATCCAAGTCCAAACAACTACCACGCTATGGGGTTTGGTTGGGTTTTTTGTTTTCTCTGTTTTTTGTTTTTTTTTTTTTTTCCTTTTGAAAGCTCCTGATGAGTTTCTGGCCTGTTTTCTTGTTGTTTTCTAAAGTGGTGGGAATTACCAGTCACATCCAGTCTATCAGGAGCCATCTCCGCTGTCCTTGCTTTCCCATCTGTAAAACGTGGATGTTACTGGGGCCACAGCAAAGATTGACTAGATAGATCCATATCCTGAACTCATTTCTCCCAGGGACTTCAGTGGGATGCCCAGCCCAGAACAATGGCAGGATACACGACCCTAAACATTTCTGCAGTGCTTTGAAAGATGAAAAGCAGTGACTTTTCTACCTATGTCAGTGGAGGGGCAGGGAAACGCTTCATGATGTTTATAGCAGACATCACGGACATTACACATGGAAACATGGGAAATGGGGCACTTTTTTTGCAGGGAGATAATCTTTAATAGATGGCAACTAGGAAATAAAAGCATTTGGTACACAACGGCCTGCCCCTGACTGCGGGGTGTTTGCCCAAGGAACTTGGCCACAGCCACAGATGTTTCCTCCAGAGCCAGAAGTGCTGCAAGGGGCTGTTCCTCCTAAGGAACCGGAATGAGAGAAATCCCTGCACATGCTTTTCCTCCCTCTCCTCGCCCCTGTGGAGAAAAACACAGCCCCAGTGCTGGAGACATTCCCCTAAAAACCATTTGCTTCTCCCTTTGGAGCAGTAGAAGATGATGAAATAAAAAAACACATTAAAAAGAGGCATGACTTGAAGACAGTGTTTAACCATCCCTTTTCTGATATATTTTAATGGTGTCCTCAGATAATGGGATAAAGCCTCTGTCCTTACAGCCCTGGAAGGGATCAGGGACTAATGTGGAGATGCTGGAGGGGCTGATGAGGACCTGGATGTGACTCAGGAAAGGCTCTATTCCCTTCCCACCCTGATGGTGAAATTATTTTTCCCTGTTTTCCTCCATGGACACAAACAGTCTCTGACTCTTGTCACTCAGAGAAGACTACACAGCAACACAGCTTGTTTACTCGCTGTTGTCTTCGTGGATTGAAGCTGTGTGGCCTTGTCCCTCTTCCAGGAAATGCATGGACAGAGCTGTGTGAAGGAAAACCCTCCTGCCTGTACAGTTTGCAGTGCTGAGTGGCAACGAGCCACCTCGCTTTTATTGTTAGCAGATCACAATGTTGCCTCACTGCTCTGTGCCACACACCACGCTGTGACTAACATCATCCAACAAAAGAAAATCCCCTCCAAAGTGACCATGTCCTCCAGCCTGGTGGAGCTGGTAGAGGCTCCATTCATCCCATACTGTTTTACTTCCTCATCCTCTCCGAGAAGAAGAGCAGAATAGCCCTGGGAAGGTCACATCTGTGATGTGACACCTCGGGTGGTCGCTGCTCCAGGAGAGCCAAGCTGGGCTCGCTCACACCAGGACCAGCCCCTGGAACTGCTCAGCATCTTCCCCCACTGAACCCTCCAAACGAGGAGCTGCAGCAGCAGCAACATCCCAACTTGTTTGTGCCATGAAAGGAGCTGAAAAGAATGTGCTGAACCACATGACAGGCAAGGACATCAGAGAATAGAGAGAGCTCATTTTTAATTGCTTCTGAACAAAGTTGGCTCAGGAAAGTATTTCCCATTGTACTGCTGAACTTTTCTTCTCATCACACAGCAGTGAGACGCAGGCTGTGCTGCTGCTGAACCAAGGTTGTGTTAGGGATCACTTCACTCCCTATTAGAAGCAGACTAGACATCTATCACCAGCATTTCAGGCTTTTCTGCAGCATCCAGGCATTTTTTTGCCACTGTTGATGTTTTTATCACGAGTCTTAAGTGGCAAAACTGGGACAGTATCCACCTGAATGAGGCACATTTTATATCTATGTAGGCACAGCCAAGGTCAGCCTACAGCAGGGCCACAGCTACAGCAGGCACAGAATGAAGAATTATGACAATATTCTCATCTTTAAAGCCTGTTAATTCAGACAGTCAATTCCTCAGGGCACGGACTTTATGGTTTGATTGTTGGTATCTTGCACAGTCTTGGCCCGGGCCAAAGTAAAACATAAGCAGGCTTCAGTTCCTCGAGTTTTATTATGAGATCAGAGTCCAAGGATTCAATAAATTCTATCGCATTTCAGAGTTTTGTGGACTTAAACATGAGTCCCTTCTGACTTTTCCCTAACTGATGCCCTTGTGAGCATGCAGAGAGCCTGGAACAATAGATCTAAGAGATGCAGAGTGCCCCATCCACTTTTTCTACAGGATCTGCTGTTTCCTCAAGGAGGAACTTGGGTCAGCCCACAAGAAGAAATCCACATCACACAGCTGAAGACACCAGAAGGCTGTGTAGGCCTGTGCCTTGGGCATTCTTGTGTTATTTAATTAAATAGCAATTTGGTGTCCTGCACTGAAATGTCTTTTAGCTGAAGATGAGCAACTGCCCAAACAGCAGGAAGAGCCCCATCCTTGCCCCTGCTTCCCTGGCTCTCCCAGGCAGAAACAGCACTGATTTCAGAGTGGGACTTAATGACTTTAGGATAGTAAAGCCTGAATGATCTTGACATTTACTAATAACCTGAATTAAAAGTAAAAGGATCAAAGAATCATTATTCCACTCCATTCAAAATGCTAATGATGGAGTGTGAGCTTAACTTTATAGGAATTACTTTTTCCTCTCTGAGCCTAAGTAGAGTTCATAGAATCATAAAGGTTGGAAAAGCCCTCCCAGCCCCTTGAGTCCAACCTGTGCCTGATCCCCACCTTGTCACCCAGCCCAGAGCACTGAGTGCCACGTTCAGTCATTCCTTGGACACCTCCAGGGATGGGGACTCCACCCCACCCCAGGCAGCCACTTCCAATGCCTGACCACCCTTTCCATGAAGAAATTCTTCCAGATGTCCAACCTGTTGCATACCTGTCTAGTTAATATCTCCTCCATAGTGTGGTTTGGGGTTCAACTGCCAACTGGGAAAGTAACAGGGTATTAGGTAAGTCCTTTGAGATGTGGCCTCAAAATACAGGACAGAAAAAAGTGACAGGCTGGAAAAGAACCAGATCTGTTCCTCTGGATACAGATCCAGCACTGCTCACCTGTGGGGCTCACCCAGAACTACAACTGCAAACAGAAAAACATCCAGATATGTTTGTCCAAAACCTGCCCCTGACTGCACCCAATGCTGACAAGGAGAACAAGCAAACCTAACACATTTACAAAGCACATAAACATATTTGCTCTGAACCTACAGATGTTAAGAAGAGAAATAAGGGAGCGGATGTAATTCCCACAAATTTGACCAGAACAGGCTGGTTCCATCTGTAACACAACAGGGGAAGTTTGAGATGCTGGAAGTTTTCATTGGCAGAGTAACTGGTTTTTAACTGCTAAGGTCACCTGGACATCTTCACCAAAGCAAGAAGCCTCACAGAGTGAAAAGGCACATCCAATGATCACATTACTTAATTTGCCATCATTTGGAAGGGGCAGGTAGTGATGCATAATTAGTTTTTTTGCTTTTCCTTCCTCTGTTTTCAAAGCTCATGATGTGGTGGGTGTGTTTTAGCAGTAACACAACCCCTGACTCTCCCCCTTGACGTGCCCAGGCACTGAAATGAGACACAGAGGGCTCTGCAGTGCTGATGTTTCAATTCAGACTAAGTGATACTGGAAATCATTTTGAGTTGGTGAAAGAGCATTTCAGAGCACTGAATGATTTATTTTTTTCCGGAAACCTTTCTTTTGTTGCCCTTAAAAGAAGTTCATAGAATGGCTTGGGTTGGAAGGGACCTTAAAGATCATCCACTTCCAACCCCCTGCCATGGGCAGAGACACCTCCCACTATCCCAGGTTGCTCAGAGCTCCATTCAACCTGGCCTTGGACACTTCCAGGGATGGGGCAGCCACAGTTTCTCTGGACAACCTGTGCCAGGGCCTCACCACCCTCACAGGGAAGAATTTCTCCCTAATATCTAATCTGAACCTCCTCTCTGCTAGTTTGAAGCCATTCCCCCTTGTCCTGTCACTCTAGGCCCTTGTAAATAGTCCCTGTCCCTCTGGAGCAGGAGTTATCTTCCATTTGGAAGGCCATAATCAGGTCACCCTGAAGCTTCTCTTTTCCAGGCTGAACTATCCCAATTCTCTCAGCCTTTCCTCACAGCAGAGATGTTCCATCTCTCTGATCATCTTGGTGCCTCCTCTGGACTTGCTCCAACAGCTCCATGTCCTTCCAGTGCTGGAACCCCAGAGCTGGAGACAGTACTGCAGCTCCAATGCTTTCCTTGAGCCCCTCCCTATAGAGGCACATGATAACGATGAGAACTTTTTATTTGATTCTGTATGAAATGTCTGACCCTTGAGGCATAATAATGTGCTTAAAATACACTTAACAGTGCTCTCTGGCTAAAAAAAAAAATGTTTCCAACTCATACTTTAAAAAAAATATCCATTTGGATGCTTACTTTGACTATGTGCCCAGCATCACTGGCAAAAGTGCTTCTGTTTAGAGAGGATGGTTCGGCCAAAATTCAACTTGTTTTTCAGGAATAGGAAACCAAAGAAAAAAAAATCGTAATAAAACCCACACCAAATAAATCATCATTTTCTCTTACACTGGAAGGCAACATCCATGTGTTTGCAAATTTTACTGTCCAGGATAGTACCTGGGAGCACTTGGACCAGGAGGAGTTGCCAGTAACCCTTGTCACTGATGTTGTGGGAAGACCACGTTGGTGGTGACCAAGGCACAGAGGAACAGGCTTTGCTTTATCTCCAGCAATTTTCCAAACAATTCCACACCAGACTAGGCACCAACAACTTTTGACCATGATCTGTCTGCTTTTCATTCTCACTACAGTAATTACTATTAATGTAATTTCACAGAGGCAAGGGAATCACATCACAATATAAGAGAGAGAATCAGGAAAAGCAGGTTTTTTTATAATTATCTGATCCATCAAAAAGAGTTTTGAGGAAAAGCAGAGAAAACTGGTCTTTGCTTTGCTCTGTCACACTGAAATAAGAAATAGAAGGTTTACCAAGGGCTGAGTTAACAAAAAGCTGAGGAAAGAGCTACAACCTCTCCTACCTGATGTTCAACAGCTCTAACCAGAACTCCATGGCTGAGCCAGTGTTTCCACAGCCATTCTTCAAAAGCATAAAAAGGACAATCTCTCTCCCCCTGGCAATTTTTATAAAAAATAAACTTAAAACTCCCACAAGGTAAACCCCATGTTTTAATAAATAGAATTGTAACCCTCAGGACAGATTTCTTGCTGCTGGCTTTTAAAGTATAAATTTCCAGGTCCAATCTTTAGATGACTGTAGATGAATGTAACCACCTTGTTGCATGTGGCTTTGTACAGAGCTACCACAGGGCAGGTTTGTCATCCAGGCCTAACAAATGCACACACCAAAGAGCAAATCAGCCCATGAAAAATAAAGACACAGAAAATGTGGATACTTTGTGAGGAGCCATTTGGAGAAGTGGTTCCTGTGTCACCTGCCTGGACAACCCCCCTTTGCATGTACAAATGCAGGAGTGAGGCCTCATTTGTTCACAAAGCTGGCTTTGCACTGTGTTGTCTGGCCTACAGAGGCCAGAGGACAACCTTGAAAACTTAGGTTGGCTTCTCACAAAACAATGAAAGCATGCCCTTTTTTCCCCCCCTCCTCTATTAATTCTCATTTCTGACTATTGATTTCTCCTTGTCCTTTGTTCCTCTGACTCTTGGCCAGCTCCACTCGCAGAGTGTTCCCCCCGAGGCTCAGGCCTTTCAAGGAGGTTACAGCTCTCTCTGCAGTTACTTGATCCTTGTAATCAAGAAAAGCCCTGTGCTGTGCTCCCTGCCAATTCAATCTGAAAGGAGTCGCATGGAATTCCCTCAGAGCACCCTTCAGCTCGCTCACTCTCAGGCTGGGAGGTATGTTCCCCACATACACAGTAGTAATGGTGCCAGATCCCTCTAATCTGGGACTTAAAGGATCACTTTCAACATGATGTTGTTGTCCCATTTGAGCTGAGCCTGTAGCAGCCTGTGGTTGTGTATTTTCAGCCACCTCCTTGTTCAGTGCTGCTGCTCTGGTGGTGTTTGCCAAGTGTGGATGTTCATCTCGGAGAGTAACATCCTTGCCCATCTGCTTCTCCCTGGATCGAAGAGTCTTTAGGATGGGGATTTTTCCCAGCATCTCATAGCTGACCTAAAAAGGAGGGAGACACATAATTATAGGATTTCTCGCCTTCCAGAAAAAGATGATGACCATCAGGACCCATCTGTGCCATAAAAAGAGAGGAACCTTATTATACAGCTACCATGCAGAGTGCCAGAGCGTTCCAAATGCTCCTAATTGCTGGCCTGATTGTGGAGTTGCTCCTAAATGCACACTGCAGGACAAAAATAAACATTAGTTTCTCTTTAAGCAAGCAGCACAATGTACATCCAGCAGGCAAATCAGACCCAAACTGAGAACTATTCCAATTTGACATTTATTTATCAGAGCTTTCAGATTTGCATTCTCCTTGTTATCCCTCTGTATTTGCTTTGACTGAGGGCCTGTGCTCCTGCTCTGGCAGGATCCTCCAGGCTCACAGTTCATCAGACACTTCCATTCCACAGACCTCCTTGTGCTCTTTCCCCCCAAACAGGATATCCCGTGGGCTGGGTCACACAATGGTGGAAGCCTGCAGCGGGAGCGTGCCTTGGAGAGGGGCTCCCATGGATGTGGGCCCAGCTGGAGGCACGTTCTCTGGATGTGGCAAATCCCCACAGCCTCCCCCTTGTCATCCGACCCCACACCCCCCCCGCAGCTCCTCAGCAGATCCCACATCACCCCGCTGGGCTGGAGCATGGAACGGAAGCGCCCGGACACTGCACTTCCAACTGTGAACCCTCCAGCCCCTCCAGCCAGCCAGCCCCAGCTCACAGGCAGCTTTTCTGGAAGGGCTCTTCCCCTCAACAGCTGAACCCCATCCATCTGAGGCATGAGATGCCCCAGGCTGTTCTCAGAGACTGGCAGGAAATGCAGTGGTTCCCCAGCTAATGTGGTCGAGCTCTTGGCTTGCAGAGTGCAGTTGGAAGGAGGAATAATTCCTACTTGGCAGCTGGACAAGTAGAACATCCATCAACACAAGATCCAATTCTGAAATTCAGGGAGCAAAACAGAGCCTGGGGAGGTGATGCCTGAGCTAGCAGAGACCCAAGCTAGTAGCCTGCAATGTGTGAGCAAGCAGGATACTGCACTCAAGCTGATGAGCCACCTCTCAGCAGGCTGGACTGGACCAGCACCAGCATATCCTGGCTAGTGCAGATCTCCCAGCTCAGATCACACTCATCCCAGAGCCCCTGAATTCCTGGTTCTACAGTTACAGTCACAGTCACAGTAAGTTTGGATCTGCACAACATCAAGTCTAAAATGCACAGCTCTCTGGGGAGAGCAGCCCAGTCCTGAAGTGACTCGAGGAAAACCCAAGACAGGGTGGGGGCAACATCAGGATTAGGTAACAGGAAACTCAGTCAACAGAAGTATCCTTAATGTTCCCAGAGCTCCTCTTCTGAGGAGCAAACAAGCAGGTTTCATTTCAGGCTGAAACTAAATAAAAGTATAACTTACAAAAAGCCTGTCCTAGTTCTGTTGATATAATATCAAACAGCAGATTAGGACTAACCAGTGTGGGTAGAGCCACCTCCCTTCTGTCACTCTGCAGACCTGGGGTCAAGGTGTTTGGGATCAAGCAAGTTTTGAGACTGAAACAACAAATCTGGCCTGACCTGGCAAGCAGTGGAGGCAAGGGCTTCCTCTGGGGCTCGGGGAGCCTCCACACTCTGAAAGGTACCTGCTTTTCTCAGAGTTTGCAGTTATTGCTCTCTGGATTCTTGGACTGACATGTTGTTCTCTGACTGCTGTGTTTGAAAGCAAACTCCACTTCCCTGGTGACACAACATCAAACCAAGGGCTGAAGCCATCTTACTTTGCTTTTACTGGCCACCAATTAGGAACACTTGTTGTCCTCTGTCAAATCTCTATGCGAAATGTAAGCTCTGTGCTAATTAAACCAAACAGGAAAAACATTTTTCTATTCTCATGCAACTCATGCTTTGGTCGGGCCCAAAGCACGACCTCTCACAGAGTGTACCGAGTTCCTTTCATCCTGAAATTAAACTCAGTTGCCAAGGCAGGGACTGAGTGTTTGGTTAGAAAGGTCAATGGGCAAACCCTCAGCACTTTGTAGATTAAGGCAATCAGAGATGGGCACTGAGGGGATGATCTCTGGAATTCCCAGTCTTTCAAGGAGTGGATTTAGATAATCCAGGGGCCAGCACACTCTCTAAGAGACTTCAACGTGGCATCTCCTCTCACTAAAGGGACAAGACGTTTTTTGTATCACACTGGAGCTCTTGGAGTTACTGTTCAGGCTCCTGGCAAACTCAGGAAGATGCAGTTACAACAGCATAAATGTTTTAGGAGGAATTTCTTCACAAAAAGGGTGATTAGACACTGGAAGTGGCTGCCCAGGGAGGTGGTGTAGCCCCCATCCCTGGAGGTGTCCAAGGAATGACTGGATGTGGCACTCAGTGCTCTGGGCTGGGTGACAAGGTGGGGATCAGGCACAGGTTGGACTCAGTGATCTCAGAGGTCTTTTCCAACCTCAGTGATTCTGTGATTTTTGTAAGGGTTGTGAACTGTTCTCTTTAAAAGCTGAAGTTCTGATCAAACACCACCATGAAGTGATTTCTTTCATTCCCTTCAATTCAGCCCTGTGCAAACATAACACTAAGTAGCCTTTACAGTGCCAAAGCAACAAAGGCAGCTGATTTGGCACTTGGATATTTTTGTATTAGGAAACATTCAGTAAAAAAAACTACATTAGACAAGTTTTGATATTGTCAATTGACATCTTCCTGCCACAAGAGACACAGAGGATTTACCTTAAGGGCTGTTGTCCCTGGGGTCTAGGAGAATATTTCAGCTGGGTCAAACCTTCTAAATCCTTCCCTATTTTCCCCTACTCTTATGCCAGTTTGGGAATTCAGTTTCAATTCAGTGAAGAAATTCACTGCTTTTTTTGGGGTGAGGGGGGTGAGAACCAAAAGGGCAAAGGGGGCAGTGGGTGGCAGAGGAGAGGAAAAAGCTTGCTCTGCTCTGTTGCAAAAGAGCAAACAAAAGAACTCTGTGGTAGTACAATGTGTTGCTAATTATGATCATGCAAAAAGTTCCTTTTGTCCTGTGAGCTGTGGAGGATTGCAATGATTTATTTCCATGTGGAGAGAGGCCAAAGATATTCCTCCTCTCTTTCAAACAAGCTGCACATTTCTTGGTCCTGTGCCTGCTGGTCAGTCCTCCCTATCCTTGTCTATCCCTATCCTTGCTTACTGCTTTGGGCTAAGCCAGGATGGAAGGGATAAGGGTTCCACATCAAGTCTGGCTGATCCAGCTATACGGACCTGGGTAATCCCTGCAGTTAAAACTTCTTCCCTTGCTCCTCCCATCCCTATAAAGTCAAGGCCAAACCATTTATTGATGTTTGTAAACTTTGTATTGAGTGTTGGGATTTAGCTCAATGATTGGCTTTGGCAGCAAAACCAGCTGAAGAAGTTTCCTATTATCCCTTGACCACCAATTCCCAGGCCAGTTCCACACTTCAGCCCTCTGGGGTTGGCCAACAGAAGTGCCTGTGGGCTGTAAACTCACTAACTGAAGTGATTCAGGTTAAAAATAACTCCACCAAAGGCAATTAATCATTTAACACCACTGCCTATTCCCTGCCATAGCTGGGAGAGCCTCGGGGAAAGAGGACAGCAGGGTGGATGAATTCTTCTGGCACACGATTACTGGGCTATGGGAAAGGAGCTGAGGAGGAAAATGTGGCCCCTTTGTGACAGAATCCTGAGGAAAAGAGTCTTGGATGCTGAGTGCCAACACAAATCTCCCAGCACTTAACCCAGAGCCTCCACTCTTATGACACCTGGTCTGATCCCAAAACAACAGAGTGGCAGCTGAACTGCTGCAACATCCCTGCTGGAGCATCAGGGCTCCCTTCACCCTCTGCTCTCCCAGAACAGTGAATGGAGCCACTTTCAATATTTTGCTGGGGAAAATGAAGGATGTGTTTGTCCTCTGTCAGAGTGAGTAATGCTGACCCCTGATACAGCACAGGCCAAGCCAAACACCACTTTAATTTCCCTGGCAGGAGCAGAGGTGCAGTCCTGGTGCACTGCAGATGAGGGAAGGACAGCTCTGGACCGGAGACTGTGCTGGGCCTGGTATTTAATTCTGCTCCCCACAGCTCCCCACGTGCACATACCACTGATACAGGAACATGTGGCTCTCTTGAGACCCACCCTGGAATCCTGTGCACAGTTCTGGGGTCCCCAACATAAGAAGGACATAGAACTGTTGGAGAAAGTCCAGGAGGCCACAAAGTTGACAAGGGGACTGCAGTGCCTCCTGCATGAACACAGGCTGAGAAAGTTGGGGCTGTTCAGCCTGGAGAAGAGAAGGTTGTGTGGAGACCTCATAGTCCTCTCCAGTATCTGAAGGGGCTACAGGGAAGCTGGAGAGGGACTCTTCATCAGGAACTGTGGTGACAGGACAAGGAGCTTCACACTGAAAGAAGGGAAATTTAGTTTAGATATACTAAAGAAATTGTTCCTTGTGGGGGTGGTGAGGCCCTGGCACAGGTTGCCCAGAAAAGCTGTGGCTGCCCCATCCCTGGAAGCATCCAAGGCCAGGTTGGACAGGGCTTGGAGCAACCTGGGCTAGTAGAAAGTGTCCCTGCCCATGGTAGGGGGTGGGAATGAGATGAGCTTGAAGGTCCCTTCCAATCCAAACCATTCCATTATTCTAAGATGGAGACTGATGCTGCTGCCCTGGAAGGCTGTGAACAAGACTAAAAAATCTCTACAGTAGATCCACCTGCCCTTCCAGGCTGGTAAGCAGAAGGTGTTTGAAAGATTCATTTTCGCCCACCCTCAGGGGTCTCTGACCCAAGAATGTTCATAAAGACCTCAAGAACAGACCCCACTTCTCACGCTGTGTCCTTAACCAGCTGATTGTTTCAAGGAGCACTGAGCTCACAGGGATTTAAAGCACAGACAATGCCAGGACAGCCAGGACAGGCCAGCACAGTTGAACATTTTATCATTCATTTGCACGAAATGTCCAAATATGTGCACACAATCCCAGGGCATATTTCTGGGAGCTGGCAGCCCGTGAAGTCTGCTAATGTCCCTCAGGAGAGACTTATGCAACCCACATTTGGAATCCATCAGAGAAAACTGGATTCCGTGGACTCCGCAGCAAGGGTCAGATCTGCAAAGGTGTTGAGATGTTTAACCACGTGTGGAAGTGTGCCCTGCTCACACTGTCCCTCCAAAACACACAGCAAAACAAAACCCTGGCTAAACTAACAGCAATTTTCCTCTGATGGCAACACTATGTCCCTGCTAAAGGTTTGCCAGCTTGGATGTGTGAACTTTCTGAGCGTTACTTTCCAAATGTTCTATCACAGACTCAACTCAGAAGCTGTTTGTTGTCAGATAGTTTCCATCTCTGCCACAGCACTGGACCCAGGGATTCCCCCCAGTTCATTTCACTTCAGGAAAAAATCTTTTCCTACTGCTATAAAATTCTCAGCAAAAGAATGATTTAAAAACCAGAAGGAAATGCTTGCTAGAATATAGTGATTTTTCCACCAACTACTCTCATTTCCCTCTTCATGACCCCAAATATTTTAATTGGTCTGTATAGTTGCAATTTAAAATAAGCACAGCACAAATAACTTGGTAATTGTGACAAAATATAATACACAGTGTCCCAGATAAAGATCACAGCTACCCATAGAAAATATTAAATGAGAAAGTAAGTCATTTCATGAATTTAGAGTTCCCAGAAACAATGGGTTAGATTTTCAAGACAGACGAAGCCAAATAATTCTCCACTGGATCCAAATAAAGTTTTCCAGAGTGCTCAGCTCTCAGCAGCTCTTGCTGCCCTCCAATAACTCATATTGATTTCTCAAAACTCAGAGGCAGAAAACTTACCCATAGAAACCTCCCAGTACTTGGATTTACAAGTGTTTCCAGAGTGTTTAGCACTGATATTGATAATGATTACTTGCTATTAATGATATCGTGGGTCTTATACTTTATAGGAAGTCTTTAAATAGCACATAAAAAATGTGAACACTCCAGCACTTCCTTAAGCACAGAAATCCAGCCTGGAGACATGGCTTTGTTTGCTGGGTAGGCACCTCCTCACCCCTCTGGAGCTGAAAACACAGTGTATGTGTTCCTGGCTGTTTATCCTGCTGGCTTCAGGGCAGCACATCCTTCACAACAACACTTAGCTCTAATCCCATGTTTGCAAACACCTGTAATTTAAGATCTTAATCATTGTCTTGGCCTGATCCAGCCATGTTCCCCAAGGATAAACCTTTTTACAGTGTATTTTACACATCACACATCTCAACAATAAAGTTAAGCTACTTTCTGTTGACAAAGCACCCTATTTAGAAGTGGGTTCTTTATTTACTCACTACCTCTTGGTTCATTTAGTTTTGCTCTGAGGAACAGGAATGCACCAGCAAAGCTGGGATTTGAAGGAGAAAAGGATGAGGAGAAAAGGATGTAGAAGTAGCCAGGACAAGCCAAAGGACAAACATTTAAATAACCCATATCAAATCCTGCCTTTTTAACACCCTGCTGATTAACCAGACCTCCCACCTCCATAACACTCCCTGCAAGAACTGAACACAGAGTTACCACCACAAGCACAAACAAAATAAATGTCATTTATCTCCCTGTGAAAGAATAATGGCCATTTCTTTTATCTTCATATAGACACCACACCTTTTTCTTCTCCCAAAACTGCCTGGTATTCTCCAATATTCCTATCTAAGCAACACAACACTCCAAAGAACAGCCAAAACCAGCTTTAGGTGTTAAATCAACATTCAAGTATTCACATAAAGCATCAATAGTGCTCCATTCTCAGTGAACCTGGAGAAAATTCAGTTGCAGCTACGGGGAATCAAGACAGAAAAAAAAAAGGAAAAAGTGTCAGCAAGGCCACTTACTGAGAAGTCTGACACTAAGACAGACAAACTGTGATCAGAAGTATGTTGGCAAGATGGATGGAGCACAAGGGGTAGACCTTCAACACAATTACATTCAATAATATCCTAAAAAAAATTACAATTCAAAAATAATTCAATGGAAAAAATGCACTAGTACAGACAGAGCTGTTATTTATTTATTTATAACCTCAAACCCGTAACCACAGGCAGGGTAAAATGCTCTCCCACCATGGGAATAAAAATAGTGCTGGCTAGAACTGTTTGTTGTAGATACATTACCTAAAGAAATTTAACTCTTTTTGCTGGTTGGCAACTGTTTAACAAACAACTCTTGACTTCCCTACAAGTATTCCCTTAGTAATTCCTCGGCAGTTTCTCCAAGACACAGGCACAATATTTCTCATTTCAGTATTCCTACTGTTACTCAATCATGCAGGATTGTGTCTGCTCCCTAACTGGATGTTTTCAGAAATGAAAATCCAATAACAAAGGAAAAGTTTTCCCAGCATGAACTTCCAGTAAAACAATTCACTAAATGCTTTTCTGAAATTATTTGTGAAGCTGAGGAAGTTTCTGACAATCTGGGCGGGACGGAGAAAGGGCAAACCCATAATACAATTAATGATCAATAAATAAAGATTCCTGGTTTAAAACAGTATAAAGTCACTGTTTCTCTACCTGAAAACGAGCTCCAGCCACAAATTTATCCTTGGAAAGTTAATCCACTACATAAACAGGAATGTACCACCACCAGGTCATGTTTTGCTTTCACAACCAGAGCAGCACATACTCTACCCACTAGTTTCAACCCCCCTGCCACGGGCAGGGACACCTTCCACTAGACCAGGTGGCTCAGAGTGCCATCCAAACTGGTCTTGAACACTTCCAGGGATGGGGCATCCAACACTTTTTTGGGGAATCCATTTGGTACAGCAACCTCAGCTGCAGTGATACATTCTCCTCCTCACCATTCCCACTTAAAACCCGCTGAAAATGGATGCTGCTGTTTTGTTTCACCTGAAAAACAGATCTGTTCCTTTTCCAAGTATTTCTAACACAACAAATGTGTTTATATTCAAAAATGTGGGGTTTACCACCAGGATGTTGGTACCACTGGTAGCAGAGGGAACTTGCCTTATGCCATATTATTCCCTGAGGTTTGGGTCTCTTGCAATTAGTCGTGATAATTCTTGTTGGGGTGAGGATATAATCCACAGTTAAATCATGATCATCAAGAAGCTCTTCTTCTATGTCAACCACCTGCAAGGAACAAGAGATTTGCTAAGTGGTTAAAAACAAATTCACTAAAATTGTGCACCATTCCTGATGTCTTGCAACATATGAAAATACATCAGACAGTGGAAATAAAGATGCCAAACCAAGCAACATTATTCCACGTCTCTTCTTCAGCCAGACCAGTCATTACTACACAATTCTGATTCATTATTTGAGAGGGGATATTTTAACTTACCTGACAATCATGCACAATGGTTACTACAGGTGTATCCTCCTGCACTGCACCCATTGACACCATCATTGCGTATTCCATGTCTGCATAACCTTCCCCTTTTCCAATTCTCCAGCCTAAAATACATAGAACTAAACAGTGAAAAAAACCCCCAAAACCCAGCAGAATGGAAAGTTGGTTAACTGTTAAAATCATGTAATTAAATTAAGCAGTCTGCAACAGATAAACCAAGCACAGAGTTGTAACTCAGGAAAAGTTCAGGTCAGCATCTCTCACAGAATGCAACTTTCCTTGAAATCAGCACTGAAATGAAATAAAACATCAGTTTCAATGAACCCCTAAAAGATTCCAGGAGCCCCCCATTCAGAATAAACCAAACTTAGTCCACTTAACACAGAAGGTTATTTACCCATTTTACTCAGAACCTTCTATTCATGTCCAACATAGGTTAAGGTGGGTAAAGAGGAGTCTGGGTCATACACAAAAAAACATGTTGTTTTAGGCAATGGATAAAGTCAGTGGAAAAATTTTCACCAGCAGCAGGTCTTCAAAACAGTAGAAGATGCAAAATCTGATCCCCAAAGAAGTACTGACTCAGCAGGTCTAATGTGTGTGCTGTCACACACCCTGTGTGAGTGAAGCAGATCCTCTGAACAGGGAGCCTGCTTTGATTCTTTCAAAACAAAAATAATTGCTTGCCTTAATAGTTCTCTTGAAAGCCAAAGCACAGGCCCACATGCCCTAAACCACACTGCTGCCTGCCCACTAAGTGCTGGAGGCACTGCTCCTTCCTGGTTGGATTGGGATCAGGGATTTGTCACACAGAACAGACAGAACTCAAGACCACAACTCAGTTCCAGGGATATGTTCATCTCTGCCAAAAGGAACACGTGGTGTATCCTACTGACACTGGGAATTGTGACTTAGGACCCTCCTCCTGAAAAGCTGACAAGGCTTTTCCTTACCTTTTTCGGAGACAGCCACTGATCCCACAACAACCAAGTCCACTCGTGCTCTCCCATCCAGCCCCACGGGCACACTGTAATCTTTTACACCCTGCAAGGAAAACATTTTAGGTTCACTCAGTGCAGAGTCTTCCAGCCACTGAGGCAGAAATCCAGGATATTTTGATAAATCCAACTAACTCCCTCTTTCAAAGTGTCTCTTCCATGTATAGCCAAGCTGTACATGTCTGGAATGTTATCCTCTAGGGAATCCTAGAATAGATTCCCTACTACAGTAACAAGAATTTTGGCACACTACAAGGAGAGCTGAGGGAGGTGGGCACTTTTTTTAAGCAAGGTTACTTATTTAGGATCAAACCCTCATATTTTGAAACCCTTTATTGGAAATCTATTCCTAAAAATGAGGGCAACAGATACTTCCTACCTTAGCACTACTAACTTAGAGTCATAATTATGTAAACTCATATCAGAGTACTACAAATTCCTGAATTAAGTCTCACACACAAATCACAAAGTTAATTTAGACACAGGCAACTACAGCATAAAGAAGTCTTAAGTGACACAAACTGATACAATGATTTTTTTTTTCTTTCCCTCTCTCCCCACTCATCTCAACCCACCTCTCTTCAATCTTCTCTCTAAAAAACACATCCTAACAAAATTGGGTCCAGAGCTGCAGAAATTAAGAATTATCTTTACTTGGGCTTTCAAATATCACAGGTTTAGAACTTTTAAAGTGATTCATTCACTCAGTATATGTGTACAGCTTAAATCCTCCTCACATCAATGGAAGTTCGTGCTAAGTCAATCCTCACAATAAAAAGACAAACATCTTCTGTGCAGAGCGCAAAACCAAAAAGTTCAGTAATTTGTGGCTGATCATCAGTATTAATGTTCATTATCCACTTCACAGCAGTGTGGTAAGGACTGTTTGCACAGTGCTTTGTAAATATAAACTGCCAACAGCATTTATTCATTAGTGGGCCTGGGTGGGGGAAAAACCAGACACATGGTGGTAAAATCACAGATCACAGAAACAGGCAAGAGAAAGGTCTCTTTCAAAAGTGCTCTTCAACCCTGAAAAGCTTAATTAGTTAATGGCCTCAATAGAACTTGCAACAAAGAAAGTCACTACTAATTACCACCCATTTACAACCTCAGCTGTATACGGGATTACTGTAGAATTTTAGTGCCTTGAGCAGGAGATAAAGAAGGAAATAAATCTATAACTGGCCTGTTCTTTTTGTACAGGTTAGGTTTTCATAGCAGCTGAAGAGGGATATAAAATAACAGAGGTTTCTCTGCCAAAAGCCTTCAGCTGTACAGTTTGAGATTGTAACACGAGAGGGCAGCAACAGACCACACTGCAGGACCAAAACCTGTGTTTTTGTGCCTCCACTGAGGCAGATGCCAGAATTAATGTTTCTTTAGACCTAGTATTCTAAAAGAACTTATCTTTCCTACTTCGTAACACCTAATATTCTATCAAGATGATGCAAAAACTGTAAACACTAACCAGGTTTCAGTAGCTCAATGTTATAGAATACAGGGGCATGATTTATTAGAAATAAATTATTTCTTAGGAGCATGATTTGTTAGAAAGATCTATCTCAGCTATAAAAGTTGCTCATAATGTTCCAAAAAGTACCGAGAAAATATCAATACCACTCTGCTAACAAAACATAACAAGAAGATTAAATTTCCCCATGATTTAAAAATTATTAATGGCAGTTGTGTACACAGACCGAGAAATAACATCGTGGTAGAATTATATTTGAAGTAGCATCTGTTTTTTCAAATTCCAAGTGGTCTGTCACAACACCACAGTCATCCATGAGTTAATTCAGGCCTCCCTCATCTTTCATTCCTACCTGAGACGTGGCACATATTCTCAGGACTTCCTTAGTTGCACCTGGAGGCGGAACAATCCTATTGAACAGCCCAGTCCTCAGGCGTGGTGTGGGAACCAACAAAGTCTTCCTTGCCTGTGGAACAGAAGAAGTTGCCACATTAAAAGGCTTGTTTTACACTAAAGAAATAATTTTACTGTCACCCAGTAAAAATTATGTGGCCAATCATCTAATTTGCTAGAGAGTAATTAGTGTTGTTTATTGTATAGTGCTTGCAGATTCATCCCCTCCATTACAGGAAAATTCCAGACAAGGGTTTATTTAAGAAATAAAAAGTAAGACATACCTTTAACCTTTAAAGATATTTAAGGACATCTCTTTAAAGATATTCCCCCTTTAAAGGTGTATCTTTACATATTTTTAAGGTGTATCTTATAATGTCTTTATGATGAGGAATGGCTTCCCACTGCCAGAGGGCAGAGTTAGATGGGATACTGGGAACAAATTCTTCCCTGTGAGGGTGAGGAGGCCCTGGCACAGGTTGCCCAGAGAAGCTGTGGCTGCCCCATCCCTGAAGTGTCCAAGGCCAGGTTGGACAGGGCTTGGAGCAACCTGGTCTAGTGGAAGGTGTCCCTGCCCATGGCAGGGAGTGGAACTGGATGAGCGTGAAGGTCTCTTTCAACCCAAATCATCCTGTAATTATGTGAATACTTATTGATCCAAAGTGCATGTCCACAAATAAGTGACACAGGTCAGCTCCTAAACATGCACAGGTCTGAGATAAGTTTGTCATACATTCACCTTGTGATAATTTGAGGCAAGGCTTCCTCAAATTGTGTTTTGGGGAGTAAGAACACAGCGATGGTGAAACAGCTACTGCTCTGCAGAAACACATTAATTTCCCCAAACCTTACCTGCACCTTGGCCATTTGCCAGGAGGGCAGAGATATGCTTTCTTACATGAACAACCTGCCTGAGAAACGGCAGGTATCGATGGTAGGATGCTGCCAAGCTCTGCACTCCCCTCCTCAGGGGTGCAGAGGTGCCATTACCTGCAGAGCTGCCAGCCGAACCCCTTCCAAAGGTTTGTCGGGATCCACCTTAACCTCCCGTGCTCTGCTGAACACATCCAGCTCTTGGATAGAGGAGCAGGCCTGGAGAGAGCCCTGGGGCAGGAAAGGAAGGAAGAAGAGAACACCTTCACTTACTTCCAGCGTGAGGAAGCGAGCATTCCTCTGGGGGGCATCGGGGTTTATCTTTACAGTCCTGGCAGCTCTGAACTCCTGCAAAGCCAGAAGCCTCGTGGCAGCGTGGGAGGCACCCTGTTTGCAGAGGATATCAGTGCATCACCAAGGAGCTCACAGCACAGACGCCAATTTGCAACCTCTCATCCTCTGGAGGGGCTGATTTCCCCAGATTTTAAATATGGGGGACATACTGTTCATTTTGTGATGGTTCTATGGGAAACTCTCATACGAGCTGAGTGCTTGGCTATCTCACAGAAAAAGAGGGGATCCAAATACAGCCTCTTTGCCTGAATTCCCCCTCATTCACACCTAAAGACAGACATCAACATCACAATTATTCTTTCATCAAAGAAAGGCAGAGATCAATTTTCCTTTTCAGTGACTGAATATAAACAGATTCCTTTAAACGCAAGTCATAAAAACTTTTTTTAAAATGAAGAATTCCTGGACAAGGCTCTCCCTTGACAGTGATTATACTGAAAACTCAGAAGATTCGCTACTTAACCGAGGAGCTCCAGTTTAGCAGAGCACACGCTCCTCCTGTAATTTAAGCTGATATCCTCTGATTTAGGGCGCGATGAAGCCTCAACCTTCCTCCACCCACTTCAGCACCCATTTTATCTTAAACAGGAAAACCATATCCCGCAAAACTGAGGCAGAACGTATCCCGCAGAACTGAGGCTGCCTCTGTATCCCTGGAGTGTCCCAGGCCGGGCTGGACGGGGCTCGGAGCACCAGGAGACGAGGTGGGCGGTACCTTGAAGTTGGGGATGCGGCGGTGGACGGGCCGCGGGAACTCGGCCAGGCCGGTGCTCTCCAGGTGATCCCAAACCTTCTCCCGGATGTCCCACTT